CCTCTGGAGGCCCTCCAGAAGCCAGAAACAGCCTGTTTTCCGACTTCTGGTAGGCCTGGTAGGTCTGTTTTTCGCCCTCTCCAGGCTTCAGAAGGCTTTCTGGAAGCCTGGGGACAGCAAAAATGGCCTCCCCCACCCTCCAGAAACCCCAAAATCAGCTGGCCAATGCACGCATGTGTGATGGAGTTGACATAGGGCAATGCCCTGCATGCCCTCAGATATGGCTCCATGTGCCACCTGTGGCACGCGTGCCATAGTTCGGTATCATGGTCCTATGACAATCGAGGGCTATGCAGAAGGAAGCTTCCATGTGGCCAGTTGCAATATTTAAGAGACTAAGTGACAACCTAATAAAATTAATAGAGATTGCAAATCAAGATGCACAGAGGAAGCAGCTCACGTTCATTTTTGGATATCTCCCTTAAAAAGGGGGCGGGAACTACACAGGCAATCCACCAAGTTTGTTCTATCTTTATGTGCAAATTAAAATAGTGGTAAGAGGTATTTTGAATAACTGGAATCTGGACATTTTAAAAACAGCAATATATTTTTCAGGCTTCCATGCAAAGATGAAATAAGACTCAGCTACTTTAATGCAATAGCTCACTAAAACAAGTCATTGATATGAATCATTTAAGGAACTGCACTTTTGGGAGGCTCCTGCAGAAGTCTAAAAAAATATGGTACTGCTCTGAAGAGAGCTACATTCACTTCCCTGTATGTTCCAAAGCAATTCCACTTCTGAAGTATGTTTGTATATGTGTGCACTATATTCAGCTTATTAGAATACTTTTTTAGGTATTCAGCTATGAGAAATTAAGTTTCCCTCTCTCTTTTTGTTTCCATAGGCACTGATCCTAGCAAGCATTATATTTCAGTGTACCGAAGCTTGGCAGCAATTTGGATTGTTTTTGGTTTAGCCTGGCTTGCTCTGATATTCAACCTGGGAGCAGACCTAATGGAGAAATTCCTACAATTAAATAAGCAAAAGCCACATCCAGAGACAACAGAAGTTACTGTTTCCAAAGGAGAAGATAATCCTGGTCAACCCAGGATCCATATTCCCAGCTGAGTGTCTCTCCTGGGTAGGCAGCTTAGAAGAATTTCTGTGTGCATTCAAGGTGTGTGGATATGATAGACTGCTTCCCACCCATAATGAGTGAGGAACTTCATAAAGGATAGAGGGATTTCCCTGCCCCCAAAGAAGTAGTAAAAATGTTATGTGCAAAAAGCAGCTGAATGAAAAGCATGAAGGAAAATTCACTGAGAACATAATTTATTACACTTTCCATTCAGCCAATTATCTTCCATTGAACTAATTATTAGAACAGACCTATCAAATGGCTTGTGGGCACTGGGTTCCAAAATAACTTTTTAAAATTTTACTGGAAGTGATCAAAGGTTTTTTCTTCCAAGAGAACCCCGTCACTTATCTCCACTTCCCAATTTCCCTTAAGCAAGTAGTGAAATCTGTTAAACAGGTTTTCTGGCAGAAAAATGCACATATTTTACTAATTCCATCTATGAAAAAAATTAAACAAGGTATGGTTGCAAGCTACTGAATCTCAATGACAAGAGCTTTTCTTCTCCTATCCTCCTTCTATTATTAGACTATAAAAAGACAAAGAAAAAGCAATAACCCCCAAACCTATTTTCCTCAGTAGCTTTACTCCAAGGTTAGTATTCTGGTTAGTACTTTTTCCAAGCCATCTGGACCTGAACATTCTCAGTATTTTTTCTTTGAATATGTCCCAAGACAGATATTTAAAATTCTCAAAGTTCAGAATACCAATTTTTAAAAAAAGGCTTTGTGCTTACTCTGAGGGAGAAGAAATATAGTGCACCCTACTAAGAAATTTCAATTTACATGTTCAAATTGTTATATTAGTAGCTTAAATAATTGGAGGAAAAATAGAACTACCCAGGGGCCCAGACATTTTGCTGCTTGACACAAGTAAGTGTCCCTCTTTGTCCCATGTACTGATGCTAGCTGGACTAGCAATTGAAGGAACTTTTTAGATTAGGTAGTCCATAACAGGTTGTATGCAGAGCTCCATCCAGTATCACCAACCTGAAACAGAGATTAATAGTAAAGTTCCTTCTTGTGTTAAACGAGAGAAGAACCATCCTGACATTTTGCAGAGTAGTACTTGCACTTTTGAACTGCATCATTAAGCTTCATAAGATGATGCCATGACTGCAAGTGTACATTGCCAAGGAGGAAAGAAAGAAAAAAGTTTGAATAATGAGACCACCTTGATGGATTTCCTAGATGAACTGAGTCAAATTGAAAGAATTGCTACAAGGACAATCCACTGACTCTTCATGAAGAACAAAAACAAATGTGCCAAGAGATACGGCATTGATAAGGTAGAACTTTTATCATCTCTTTCCAAGGAAAGAGATTCAACAAGTGCTGACAAGCAAGATCCAAGAAATTACAGAATACTTCTTGGAAGACCTACTAATTATCACTAGGCAGGTTGAGGCATTTGTCTATCCAATGACCAAGAATTAAACTTGAACACAAAATTAATTAATACAAGACGCTCAACCTGTGACATTTCAGCTGATTTGTAGAAAAGTGTCTTTTGATAACATTTATCCTATTTCAAAATAAGCAAGGTGCAGCAATATCTGGCCTTTACAACCTTCATCTTCTGACGTAAATATCTAATTCAGATTAAAGAGAAAGGAATTCCAATGAGGTGTCAGATGACTACTTCAATAATAATCACACACTGATCACTACAGGAGATTTGGAGCTTATAGTTTAAAGATACATTGTCCTAGATGGTAAAGTGTGTTACAAAGTTTTAACATGGTGATGCATAGCATGGTATTCGGAGGATGTATGTGGTGCTGAAAACTGCGTGCAAAATGTAAATTTTTACATGGTAGAAGGGAAAATTTAGTATATATTTAATGCCGGAATGGGCATTAAGTGCCTGGAGAGTGCACTTGATGTTGTGTTTTGCCTGGGACTTGATTCACAATTTGGGGAGCCCTGAGATTGCCCATGCGTTATTAGGAGTTTCCCACTACTGATTTATTGTAACCTTAATTAAATGTAAATAAAAATTGTATTTATATTTTTTATGTAAAAATACGTAAAAAATACACATGTGGTGGTGGGAGAGAATGCAGACCACAGCATATTATTCAAAGACTATAGTAGCCCTTAGCCTGAAAAAAAATTCTGTACTCATGCTTTAAAATTACATTATGAACCTCAATGCATTAATTTGAAGGTGTTATTACTATAAGAAGGTCCTTTTGGGTTCATTATGAAATTGTGTTTCTGCATCTGGTCTATTTATGATTCCACGTTTTATGGCTTGTCATCACTCATTTAGTATACCAGATTCCTTTAAGAATAAGAATTGCTTTGCCAACCAATAGCTAATCGGATCCAGGTTTCTTTGTCACATTTTGGATAATGAAGTACCTTCTGAAGGGGGGGTAGAATACCCTGTGGCTGTGACTCCCTAGAAACTGGTTTAATATCAATCAATATGTTCAATCACATATTAAAATATTTTATTTTGATACAGGAGATAATATACAACACTAGATCAGAAGCCATTGAAATATGCATTGCCTTTCACCAACGGTAGAAATCCATCACCACCTTTTCATTCAGCTAAACCATGGCTGTTAAACTTGCGGCCTGCAGGCCAGATACGCATAGGTGCTGGCCACCGCCACACTCCCTTTAGCAAAGGGGAAAAAAGTTGTTATATGTCACATGATTACGCTATTACAATAGTGAGTTTGACACCCCTGAGTTAGACTATAATATTTTAGAATTGCTGAATATTATACATAGTCTAACACCACATAAAATTTTCTTCTCAAAATATGTATGACTGGTATATAGAGGAACAATGTCTTCTTTGAAAGATACATTCCTTATCTTACAGCTTACTACAAGCTTTGAACTCACTGAGTTGCGGTGAGGGATACCGTTGGTGAGGCAAGAGCGCGGCAGCCTCGCCTCCCGTCTCCTCTGTCCCCGCTGACATTCTTGGGAGCAGGTCGGGTGGCTGGCTGGCTGGGAGGAGAAGAGCGGTTTGTGTTTGTGCCGGCCGGCCGGCCAGGCAGGGAGCAGGTCAGGTGGGGGTGGCTGGCTGGCTGGCTGGCTGGGAGGAGAAGAGCGGTTTGTCTTTGTGCCGGCCGGCCGGCCAGGCAGGGAGCAGGTCGGGTGGGGGTGGCTGGCTGGCTGGCTGGCTGGGAGGAGAAGAGCGGTGAGCCCCTCCCTAGCCAGCCACAAGGGCT